GGTCACTATGATTTAGTATGTAAATGGGGAACAGCTTACTTTGGTTATGTGCAAAGGAGTCATTTGGAAGATGCATTAGAAACCTATGGTTATCTATAAATCAGGTTATTAGCCTGGAGGACATCAAGAATGAAGAGAACCTTCTTAACCTGTTCAGGAACATTTCCCCAAAGCCTGCAGCAGACACTGTGTAACATTAAAACATGAGGCTCATTTTCATTTCCTCTACAGTCAGAAAAAAAAACACAGGTTCAGACAGCACTGCTTTACTTAGCATTATACCAGAGATCCTACATAACTTAAAAAGAAAAGTCTTAATTTATAGTTATAGTACAAATGGCAAGTTGTGAAACAATACACCAAAACACAAAGTTCCCTGTGTTGTGATGGACCATTCTTGACTTGCACATCATTTCTGTGGCTTTGGCCAAAGATACAGGACCTTAGCTACCTCTCAAGAAAACATCAGGTCTGGAGAGACAGTCTACAAAGAAAATCAGGCAATGCACTTCCAGTGTGTCAAGGACATGAGTGACAAGAGAAGACAAGAACTGTCATAGACTTCACGAGACTTGGGAAACTTGACAACTAAACGCAAGGTGGGATACTGGTCTGGATTCTGGGCAAAAAAAGAAGTCAGTTGAAAAGGTGGTAGCATTCATGTTATCTGGGTCAGTACTTAATTCATATTACTTAAAGTCGTACAAAGATCACGCAAGATGTTATGATTGTAGGAATGATTTGAATACAAGACAGGCATGCTCTCCTTTTACAATTTACACCAATCGTTTCAACACAAAGCATTGGGAAAGAAATGGCTGAGAAGCGGCACTTATATAACATGAATGTTATACGGTCATGAAGAAAAATTAGATTGCCTCGTTTTGCAGGAAAATAAAAATAATTGGAAATCATTACATTAAGCAAAATAAGTAGGACTACATGTTTTCGCTTACACACAAACTAAATTTAAATATCCTTATAAACTGCTGTTTTCTGATCACTGTTACATGAGTATGAAAAATGTATGTATGCATACCAGCCATCATTCATTCCTACTGGGATGTTGTTTGCTTGTTTGTTTTTGCCATCTTGGACACACTGTCACTCGATTTCTGCTGTCTGTCTTACTGGTCTCTGGCATTCTGTTAGGATTCTTGTCTCTCCCACACTATCAGCTGTTTCTCCAAAACCTGTCCAGAGCTTTCCCTTGAGTGGGGGATGAAGGAAGAGCTCTGTGAGCCTCAGATGCTTTTCCACTGCCTTTCTTTCTCTCCTGCCTTACTGGCCCTGTCGGCCACACTCTAGGTCCTGGTTTCACTGACTTCACACTGGAAGCCTGCTCAGGGGAAGCTCCCTGACACTGCAAAACTCATAGGATGTACATACTTAAGACTCAATATGCTCCCCATCTGTACTCACACAGACCCTACTGACTCTGGGTATACGGCCTGGAGAGGCTTCCTTTGAAGTGCAGTCTCCCAGGGTAGTTTACCTTCTCTCCACTCTAAAGCACCACTCTCAATACCTCTCAAAGATTCTTTTCTTGTAAACCCCACTTACAGAGTTCTATGTCACTCGGGACCAACCAGATCTCCAGTTGCATGGTTCTAGCACAAAGTAAATGATCAGTGAACAACTACTGAATAATGTGTGTATAAATGAAAAGATGGCTTAACATATGTTACTTAGAAAAAGCATATCAAATATTGTGCTATAATTACTGCAGTGATATATGTGGCAAGAAGGAGGAGCCTTTCTCACCCCTTTAGTGCTATGGAAGCAAAAACACAGTAGGCAGGATGGTTTATAAAAAGAAATCAAACTTTGATTTCTCTCATTTCTGAAGATGGCTACATATAAGTACCTGCCAGATTTGGTGCCAGTTGGAGACCACTCTCTTTTTCACGGAAGATCATGTTTTGCTGTATCTAGTGTGGCAGAGGGGGTAGAAGTGTCCTGTGAACTCTTTTCTAAATGTGCTAATTAGATCTTTTAGGGGGCACCCAGAACACCATTCCTCATCACCTCCAAAAGCCCAATGGCCACATGCCAAAACAGTGGGGATTAGATCCAAGGAAGTAATTTGGAGGACACAGAAACACTTGACTATGACAAAACTATACTCTCAGCAACACGATGACAAATTACTGCTTTATCTGCTAAGTCTCCTTTATTTGTTAGTCCTTCGAAATGCATTCTTCTTTATTTTCCTAAAAGATTTTCTACTAATAGCATGTGGGAAGATCCCGTATTCATAATGTCGAATAATTATGCAAAACTTTGCGGTGGAATATTATTTCCACTTAAAGCAGAGAAAAGGTGCTAAATTGGGCATGCAAATTGGAGTTAGTATAGGGGGCCCGAAAGAAGTCATTCCAGGTTGCAGAGAAATTGAATGTTATGAAACATGAGTCAACTTTGTCTCCTGGCTGTGATTGCATTGTTCCTCAGACCAGAGCTGGTCTAGGCCAGCATGGACAGTAAGACGGGCAACAGTATGATCACAGATAGAATGTCCCTTTGCTTCTAGTACTAAAAGTGTGAATCTTTTAGTAAAGAGAAAATGAAGCTCTTTATCTCTAAGTCTTTTTGAGGAAATTATTAACATTTGTTCACTACAGTCTATTATAGTCAAATTAATAGATGTCCAAGCTGAACACACATTAGCCTTCCCCACCAGGACCAAAGAAGACCTCATATCAATCTAAAATATAAACCCCATCAATGTTGCCATCTTCTTTTCCATATACTCACCGATCTTTATTTTTGCCTAAATTATAAGTGTAGTAATAGTACTGACATGTACCCATCCTGAAATCAGTGTAATATTGTGTCTTTAAATCTGAGATCGAGACTGGGAACACTTATTCTGACACATGAATGTGGTAACATTAAGTGCTAAGGAATATGAAACATGTAGTTGTTTACTTGCAAAAGGAAAAAATGGCATGACATGTTAATAAGAATGCTTCCAACTTTGGCACTTTGAAAGATAACACTCATGATTCTCCCACAACATATATCACAGGCTCTAACCGCTTCACCCCAAAGATGTGAAGAAACAACATAAAAACCTAAGTCCCAGAAAAGTTCACACCCCCCAAAAAAAAAATCACAAAAAAACAACAAAATTCAAACTAAGGACCAATACTGAATCAGATTCTAATATCTAATCAATGTTATAAATCACATCAAAATAAGAGTGCTACGTCAGAACTGATCAGAACTGTTTCCCACTCATGTAAGAGAAAGCGGAAATCAGATACTGTGGTGGCAACCTGGGAGCACTGAAGCTCATGCTTCCTGCTTTCTGTTCTGCACTGTACGCCACTTGCCACCTCACGGCCCCCAGCATCTCCTCGGACTCTGGACAACAAATCCATATTTAGGAAGAAGAAAGCAAAGAAAAACCACTGTGGTTGATCAGAGCTATGAAAAGAGAGCAAGGGATACCACATGCCACCGAATCTCGCTGGTCTTGGAGCTGTATATAGCTGCAAGGGAAGCTGGAAATATAATTTTCGTGTCTAAAGAAAAATGTTCTCATTTAAACCAAAAAGAAACCGGGGAGAGACATTTGGGGCAGGAAAATAGCTGTCCCTGTCATGCCTATGAGAACATAACAGCCCTTTTTTTCCACATTTTTCATTAACTAGTACATGAACACACTTTAAAAATATAAAGGAAAAAGGGTTTATTTAGCCAGGGAAGATTTTCACACCCACCCATCTCCATCTGCCAGTTTCCTCCCACCACAAAACACTTTTACTCATTTTTTATATATCTCCTTCTAGCTTCTTTAAGGCAAAAAAAAAAATGTCCAAAAGATGATTCTTTCCGCTTCCCCCTCCCCCAGGAGCTATTTCCAAATCAGCACATAGAGCCATCGCCCTTCTCTTCTGCTTTGAATTGCCTGCTACGGCTGCATCGTACTCCCTGACTGTGTCTGTGGGGCTGATCTAATAGTTCCCCTCTCAAATATGTTATTCATGCTCCAGTCTTCTGGTTCCCCCGGCTGTGTGTAGGTGAGTCTGTGGGATAAACTGCTGAAGTTTCACGTCCAGAGCCAAGGGCATATCTATGATTTGGATAGGCATCACCAGCATTTCCTCCACGGATGCAACAATCATTTAAACTCCTGTCAGCAGCACATGAATGTATCTGTGGCCCACAAGCCCACCTACAAAATCAGGACCTAAGTACCAGCCATCTGTACTCTGAATGCTGCCTGTCAACTTCTCATTGTATGAAGGATATCATAAATACTGCACGCATGTAAAAGCAGGATTTCTGGGCCAGACTTGAACAGCATAAAATCACACAAGAATTGCTTTAGCGATGCTGTAGGTATGCGGGTCAGTCACTGTAAAGTTATTTTCCCATTAGGGTTTGCTATTTCTAAGTGGATATTGGACCACTGGCTCAAAACAAGCCCATTTTCATTGGAACTTCCAACACACTAGTCATCTTGGACACATTCCCTCACCATCGGCCTCTCACTGCACTGACCAGAGCTGGGCAGTCACTTTCTGCCCTGAACACACACATGCACTCTTTCTTACGCAGTTTCTCTGATCACTCTTCCTGTCTCTTTTACATTTCCAATTCCTGCTGTCACTCAGGTGGCATTTGTCCTTGTCGCTGACACAAGGGTAATACTGTCTCCACAGCTGGACTAGGAGCGTGGCAGACACCCAGCCTGTCTCTGACCTGAGGGTACAGGCAATGATCAATTCCTTTTCACGGGGTCAAAAGGTTCAGGATAAGTGGCTGGTGGAAGACTCTCTTCCTACACCTCGATCTTCCCAGGGGGTGATGTCATTGGTCGTCTGCCCTCAATGCTGTTTTCAGTCATTTTGGCTCCCCAGTCAATAGGGTACAATTCCCTGTTTTGGTCTTACATGTTCTTCTCTTAAGTTTGAAATTCCATTAAAATATAAAGTATCCCCGAAATCCACAAATGTATTAGCTGAAAGTCCTTATGCATATGCTCTTACCTCATTAATTTGTTTCATTCAAAGTACTACCTTAAACTCCCATCGCATCTGTTGACTTGCTTTCCCTGCCAGAACATATCCACGATGAAATGACTGAGTATGCAAGACACTGGGCAACTACAAACAACAACCTAGCCAGCCTCCTCACTGGCCTAGGGCCACTCTGTTAGGAAAGGACATTAAATATTTGAAACCACTGAGTGACCTTTAGTGAACTGCACCTTTTAAAAAAGCCAGTATATTTAGAAAAGCACAGATCACCTCCAGGTCTCTAGTTACTTATTAAATGACTCTCAGTGGCCTAAAGAGTTAACATTAACCTGTGAACGGTCAGCTTGAAGTTGGCAAGTAATTTGGGCGCTATGAGTAAAAAACAATCAGGACCATTATGTCTTTACTGGAGGTCTTAGCCTATAAATCCTGTAGCCAGCCAACCTGGAGGACCAGCTATCAAGACAACAGTTCAATACCCCACTTCACTCTCCCATCATAAACACAAAGTTCTATGTGGATATCAAGGTCACAAACCACAAAGCATACCTTGATACTGATGGGGAAGGTGAAACTATTACAAGTTTCAAAACGGCAGTGATGGCATTTGGGAATGAATAGTCAGGAGTATTGTAAGTGTAGAACTAAACAGTTTCACATAATCAGGCAAAAAAAGAAAACCGCACTGATCTAAGTATTTCAAAGCATGTGTATAAAGGGGATATCAAGAGACAACTTATCTGAGAATTCCAGGTGGTTTGTACACTATCTTGCTTAATGATTAACCATGTTTCGTGGAAAAGACACGGGGGTACATAACTGATAAAATCAGGGAGGGGGCAGAGCATGTTGCAGCAACACAGGGGAATGGGGTCACCTGCGACCTTGATGTAGTTGGAAGACCTTTGATTCTAGAAGATGGTACAGTATCTTCAGTTCTATGTTTCTGTGTCTTACTGTGTCTTAATGTATCAGTCTGCGGGAAAAGGAAAGGAATGGGGTGCTGTGTTCACTACCAATTCTGGATACCCTAGTAACAAGCCAGCTAGTCTTGTCACAGCCTGGAATCCCAAACATTCTGTTAAAATCCCCTTCTCTGCTCTTCCTTCTCTTAGACACTTACTCAACTTGTTTTTAGCGCAAAGCATCCCCAAAGTGTTCAGGTTCCCCAGTGGCTCTGCAGGTGGCAAATAGCAAAGAACTGGGAAGTTGCCAGTTCTTAACGTTCTCCTAACCTGAAACACAGCTAAACTCCTGAAGAAATCTTACCATAAATAATACAATGTTCAAGATGCGAGTGATAGAAAATCAAATACATAGCCATAATCCTGTTTCTTAAGAATAATGGATGATAAATTCTGAAAAACTTTACGATGTAATTAAAAATTCATCCAGCCACAAGTTCGTTGTATTTCCTATGACTCGGCCAGATTGTGTCTACAAGCATCTTTGTTGCAAAGTAGAAAGGGATCTGTTTCCCTTCTGTAGTATCTCTACTTCCAATAAAATTAAAATTAAAATATCTATGCTTACATGTATGAGTAGAATATCTCCTAATAATAATAGACTAAACATAATATATATTTTCAATAAACTGTATGCATTTAAATATGTATCTACCTATACATGATGTTCATCTATACCTTTATTAGGAAATGATTACTAAAATGAAACAAACCACTACATTCATCCCCAACAGTATTCATTGTTCCCTTTGATAAGATTAGAAAAATAAATAAATAAAAATTAGAAAATATGATGGTTTCTGAGTCTAAATCTAATTGGTTCAATAATCAACTCTGAAACTCTCCATTATATCTAGCTTCAATCTGAATAAAAGGTGTAGGCAAACCACCACCATCACCAGCCCAATACATATTAGATAGTAGTAGCCATGTTTTTTTTTTAATTGCTTAGCTATCTACTTTAATGCTTTCTCTGTTACTGTACATATACTAGGCATTATTGGAGTCTGGAACTTGAACTTGATAGTATATTAAAACTATCATTCATAGTAGTTATGTAACAAGCAAAGGTGGGAGAACTGCCACCACCAGCACACTCAGTCTCCACTGTGGCTTCTGATTTTGATTTCAGCAGGCATAAATGCCAAGGAAGGATGGAGAAAAATAAATTATGAGAACTCTATGAAGAAAACAGAGGCTGGCTAGCTGTTGCCATCAGCAAAAATGAATGGACTGAGAATGTCTTGCTCCACTATAAAATATGTGAGTATAGAGAGAAATCTGTGAAACAGATTAGAACTGCATGGAGGAAATGGGAAGAGCAGGGGTGGGGCAGAATTACCGATATGCTCAAAGGACATGGGAGCTGTCTGGGGAGTGGAGGTGAAGCAGAGACAGGGGTATCCATACGCCAAGGTTTTTAGCATGGGAATTACAAGAAAGATGGCATGGAGAGCTAAGGCACAGATGAATGGTAGGATCAGGGGTGAGAGAAGGAAAATACAACCATGGCGAGGTATTGAGTTGTGGGGTCTATAAGATTACAAGGCACAAAGGTACACAGGCAACTGGGTATCAGGTAGGACATAACAGGTAAGAGACCAGGGCTGCACACTGAAAAGGAGGTGACACTGTTCGTCATTGTGTGGGTAAGGTCATTTGAGAACAAATACAAAGTAAGAAGAGGCCCAGGATGAGCTCTGGAATAAAGCATTATTACAGGGTCTTGCGGAAAGCCAGACTGACCAAAAGCTCAGACTGCTAAGGTCAGAATACATCAACACATTTGTGCTGAAGACAAAACCTTCAATGACGCTCAGAGCCAGGGATGGACCCCAGGAAGGCAGTGCATACCGGTCTCTGCCAAGAGAAAGCTGACTTTGACTCAAAAAAAACAAAACAAAACAAAAAACAACAACTTTCAGGTTTCTCAAATCAACCCATCTGCTCTTCCTCAAACTTTTATCTGAGATGGGGGACCGCTCAGTCTCGCTCTGCCCAATTTATAATGACTTCCTTCACCACACAAGCACTTCCACTAATGAAATCTTGGCATACTTAATCCCATCTTTCTTTCCACTTCTTAAAGGGACTGGACAATCAGAGGCACACAGAGAAACTGGTGACATGCCTCCCTTGCTGACAATCATCAGATTATATCAGCACTGTGGTTGGCAGCAAACTAACAAATTCGCTTAATGTGAAAACACCTCTGGCTGTGTTTCTGTGAAAACACAGAAAATGTTGCACACAAAGCTTATATCACAGTCAATGTAAAATAAACGCATTAAATAGCCTGCCTCACTATTAAACAAGAATCATAATTGAAATAACAAAACGATGATAAAGAGCTAATAAAATTGATACCAAGTAAATGGATGGTGTATGTGACTAAAATGAGTTTAAAAGGTTCAATCATTCTTACACTTACTTCATTTACTTATGCAAAGTACTAATCTCCCTCTTAAATAATTTTGTGAAGTAAATTTTAAATCAAAACTTTCTCTCTGGATAGATTCCATAATGAAAAGTTGGAAATAAAGCTAACACCAGGAAAATATTGTAAAGTTAAAAGACACCGTAAAAAGTAATCCAACTCTTCCCCTAAAATCGACAGACAAAAGGGAGGAACAACATTAAAGCATTTTAAAGTTTTTCAAGTGAAAATCATGGATAAAGTTATGATTTAATCATTCATGCAGAAGTTTGGGAAACAAAACATTCATAAATCATTCAAAATGAACTAGATGATAAAATTTGGCCAACTAAAAAGGGAATCAAATTTAAATAGTTATGAGTAGAAATTATATAGCTAAGTGCATAGATGTTTGACCCCCTTCTCTTGTAAGAAGTGGCCACTGGTAAATGAATGAAATGGTTTACAGGTGCGGCGGCCACTGCACTCGTGCCCCTTCCTTCCCAGTTCCTGTCCACACAAGGTAAATGTCAAGGAGGTCACATATGTCTTTTATGCAAACACATGGCCTACTCTTACTACTTCATCTTATTATCCACTTTCTGGACAAGAGCAAGCTAATGACTGGTTTATGAAATAGGTCTCTGCTCACTGGTACAGAGAGATCTCTTTTCACTTCTTTCAGCTCTGGGTAATCATCAAAATCCTGTATTGTTAAGAACATCCCACAACTTAGTCAATCGGTAGATGGGCATTTACATCATTTCTAAGATAGGATATTACAGCAGCCCTGAAACCGTCTGATATATTTAGCATTATGTATATGTCCAAACACATAGATGAGATAACATTCCAAAGAAAGGCTACCAAGTGAACCTACACGTATTTATAGCTCGGGTAGATATTACTAAATTACCCTCAATAATAGAACACTAATAGCACTTTCCCCAGAAATACATGCATGATAAGGTCTGTTTACTTGGCCTTACCATTAGAAGGTGTGGTCAGACTGATAGATTACTGATACTAGTGTATTAGAAATGAAAGCTCAGTACAGTTATAATTCGTACTCAACTGTTATGAACGGCTCTGGGTTTCTTTATTTTTACAGCTAAGAGCTTTCTGCAGTTTCCACTTTAATTGGATTGCTGGAATTCTGACAATTAATTTTAATCCACTTCAAGAATTATTACAGAGAGTACCACGGCATGGTAGAAGCTTTACAAATGTAAAACTATTAAAGCTAATACCTTCAGGGAAAGGGAGGGTGGCGTGAGTAAGAAAGAAGCCCCTCTGCTGTAGCTTCTCCATCTTTCATAGCCTAAATCAGATATGGACACAAGCTAAATTTTAGTTACATTAATAACAACGTAAACTCCAAATTTTTCAGAATCATTCTAACTTGCTGTAGAGCAGTGGTTCTCAATGTGTGGGTCACAATCCCTTTGGGGGTTGAATGACCCGTTCACAGGAGTTGCATATCAGAGATCCTGAATATAAGATATTTACATTAAGATTCATAACAGTAGCAAAATTACAGTTATGAAGTAGCAACATAATAATTTTGTCCTTGCGGGTCACCACAGCATAAACTGCATTAAAGGGTCGCAGCATTAAAAAGGTTGAGATCAATTGCTCTAGAAGGATCTTTTGGAAACTAT